TCAGCCAGAGACTGGGGCTCCCTGCAGGGCCAGTGGAGACAGGGCCCAGCTCCAGAGGTGACAATCCAGCCTTTGTTTCCTTTGTGCAGAGGCCAGAGCGGGGCCGGGCTTCACTGCTGCACAAAGGCATCTCTTGGTGGGGTTTGGTCCTTTTGTCCCCGCTCTCAGTTTCTGGGCTGGGTATTGGAGGGGGGAGGTGGGTCCCGCTCATGTATGGAGGTGTCTCCTCTGTCTGCCAGAGGGTGTGGGGATGGCAGAGGGCTGGGGCACAGGGGCTCTGCTGGTGTCAGGACTGGGGGGCTGGAGCTTGTGGGGAGAGGAGCAGCATGACCTCCGGCCTGGGGACCAGCTGTGTTGGTGGGTCCCATGCTGCACCCCCGCCACTGCAGGGGAGCCCTAGGGGACGACGGAACCTTCTAGGTTTTGGATTTGTGGCTTGCCTGGGGACAGAGGGAGAGGACAGAGGTGCTTTGTAAGAGTGGGTGAGAGAAGCTGTGCAGCCTGGGTTAACCCCAGCTAGCTGCGGGTGGAAAGGGCTGCTTGCGCTCAGCTGGCCCCAGGAATCCCCCGGTGACCCCTGGTCCTCCCACAACCATGGCGGAGCACGGGAAGGCTCCAGAGCAAACCTGTGAGCATCATCCGGAGCTGCTGCCGAGGGCATCTGGGGTGGGCGCAGGCTGGGGTCATGCTGCAAGTATTTACTCAGGAGGTGAACCAGTCCGGGAAGCTCCTGTTTGATGCCTGAGGCTGTAGGGCTCTGGGTGAAGCGACCTCGGGGTCCCCCTGCCTGGGGTTGGAGGCGCGCGGTCAGAGGAGGGGTCTCTGGACCAGGAACCCCCACTGCCCAAGGGCTGCTGCGTGCCCATCGCTGCCCGTCTGTGCAGGTACAGGAAGGCCGCACTGAAATGGCACCCGGATAAAAACCCAGACAACAAGGAGTACGCTGAGCAAAGGTTCAAGGAGATCGCTGAGGCTTACGAAGTGCTGTCGGACAGTAAGAGACCACGGTGCTGTGTCATGTGTCCCCCCCAAACCCTTGAGGCTGCTTACCCTGGGGTGTCCTGCCACTGGGCTCACCCGGGTGGCATCCCTGGATGTCCCCAGGAGGCAGTAGGTCCCTCCAGCTTTACCACCCAGCTTGTGGGGCTTGGTTACCTCCCCATGCATCCCTTGAAATGGCTTTTGGGAGAGATGCTGGAGTGCTGGCTTCTGGGATGAGGTCTCCCCAGTGGGGCTGAGGCTTGTGTGTCCTTGCCCCATGCCCCAGCTTGGATGTGGGAGCAGTGCCGGTGCGGCAGGGGCTTGTGCCATCCCCCTCCTCTTGCTCCCCACTGTTCTGCACCTCTTTTCTCTGGGGAAAGTGTTGGTGCTCCTGCCCATGCGTGGCAGCTGGCTTCCCCGCAGCCCCCTCTGTTCTCCTTGCAGAGCAGAAGCGCGATGTCTACGACCGTTATGGCAAGGACGGACTCATGGGGGCAGGTGAGTGGGTGAGCGGGGCCACGGGGGGTTAGTGCAGCTCTGGATATGGCCTCGGCTGAAAAGCCGGTGTGGGTCTGAGTCCCCTGGGGCTCCCTGCCCTTCGAAGGGTTCCCACCCAGAGCTCCACTTAACTCTGAGCCGTTTCCCTCCAGCAGGAGCAGGGGGCTCCAAGGGGGCTCCAGGGCTGATGCCGGGGCCCCTGAATTCACCTTCACCTTCCGTAGCGCTCATGATGTCTTCCGGGAGTTCTTTGGTGGACGAGACCCCTTTGCTGACTTCTTTGGTGCGTGTGGGGCATGGGGGGCTGGGGTCCCCATGGTGCTGCCCTGCTCCTGGGGGCAATGCTGATGGGGGGGGGCCGCCTTCCAGATGAGATGCTGCCCTTCTCTGAGCTGCGAGGACCTGGCCCCCGTCACCACGGGGGAGGCCACTTCTTTTCCCCCTTCCCAGGATCCTCAGGTAGGAGACGCTGCCAGCCCCTGCCCGGCGGGGGAGTCCTCGGACACTGTGTCCCTTTGCACACGGTCCGTCCCCTGCTTTCCTTGTGCCTCTCACCTGGCACCAACCTTATTGCTCCCTTCCCCAGATTTCTTCGCCTCGTCCTTCAGCTCCGGTGCTGACGCAGGGCTGGGCTTCCGCTCCGTCTCCACCTCCACCACCTTCGTTAATGGCAGGCGCGCCCATACAACAGGGTGAG